CCCCCCCCTCTCTCTCTCTCTCTCTCTCGCTCTGTGTATGTGCATGCCACTAACTCAATTTGTTTCACAGAGGCAATGCGAAAGCATTCTTCTAAAGGTGAATGGTAATTTATCGGTCACAAGTTTATAACTAATTCTGGTCAGAATAATGTAATACAGCTGAATTAGGTTTACAAATCCTTCATACTTAGCTTTTTATCTGGTAGTCTATTATACCTAGAATACTTTTAATTGGCATCTAAGCTTATGTTTGATTGGTTTCCCTATCAAGTCATATCATTCTATGTATTTGTAATCCATCGTAAACCTCGGGTAATCTTCAATGGTAATAGAGACTGAATAAGTAGTAAAGCAGGGCCTATTAAAAGGAGTTATCACATACTAATATCAAGAGTATTGTTTTATGACGATTGTAAAATTATATATAAATGTTATCTATAGCATTACCAGTTTAATAATCAAAGATGTGAGCCAACTTTTAGTCATTAAGTTACCCAAACACTTTTGCGAGACCTTCAAGATGGACGAACATAATCTTGGACATTTTCCAAATCAGTTCCGTTAGTTTAATGTCCATAGTCTGCACACCATGGCCCGCCTTCATTAGCTTGGATGGAGTAGAAAACCAGGACGTTAAACCCCATTTAATTTTATTCCATCTTGCACACCATGAATAACACAATCTCTATATTGCTACTATTCTAAAACTACAAATATTGCTAAAAATCTAAAACTACAAATTTCTACATTAAAAATCTAAAACTACAAATCGTGATTTTACTTATACTCTAACACTACATATCGCGATATTGTTAATATTCTACAACTAAAAATCGTGATATTGCTAATAATCTAAAACAACAAATCGCGATATTGTTATACTCTTAAACTACAAATCGCTATACATTATATTGAATTTATAATAACCGATGAACATGTATTATGTTGACGAAACGTTGAACTCCTTTCCATTAATTTCCCTGCATAAAACTATTACGAAATGGCGGTGCTATATATTGGGAATGGTAGGATTTTTTGTACAATCATCATTGAAATGAAATGAAATGGGGAGTTTGACGTTCACTTTTCTACACTTACTGGACTTATGAAGACGGTTATACAGTGTGCTATGAGGGAGATTTTGCCTGGACAGCGGCGCTACGGCCTACTCTTATTTCGAATTCTAACGGTCAGGGGATTTTTCACGTGTTAACGTGACCTCGGTACTACTAGACAACTGTTCTTGTCAGGCCCTCCGTCCTGCACCACTAACAAGGGGAAACCGCGCCGGAAAATTCCGAGGAACATTCTCGGCCAACACAGGGAGCGAATCCGAGACCTCCAGGTCCTACTCACCGAGCTGCTACGGCCCGCACAACCATTCTAACAATGATTTTATAACTGTAGTTGAATGGACCTAGAATGTTCATGTTTAAAGAAAATCATCTGCTGCAGTAATAGCTTTTAAGCGGAATGACCATGCCATTGATTTCCAAAATATACTGTACTTTTATTTTTAATAACGAATTTGATTAATATATAAATCGATAAATATTTAGTAGAAGTTGTCCCTTACCCTCTTCGGATCATCGTAGTTATTTATGGCCAACATATCATAATCTAGCAATGTATAATTAAAGAAACCTATATATGATAGTTTATGACTATAAGATCAGATAGAGGGATAAGTAATGGGATAATGATGAGGGGCTATTAGGTGAAGCTGATCTGATATGGTCACTATTAATACGTGATGATGATGAATTTATTTATGATATTCAATCGTCTACTAGTTTTATATTCATTAGTCCATCATCATTAACATCATCATAACCCGTTAATCCTTGGTACTGACTTACCATGCCAGAAACCAATATACAAATAAACGGTTTCACTATGTTATAATAGGTAAATACTAACTTACCAGTAAATAAATGGTTTCACTATAATACTAGGTAACATTTTGTACTAATTTACCATGCAAGAAATCAATCTACAAATAAATGTTTTCACTATATTATAATAGTTAAGATTTGGTATTAATTTAACATGCTAGAAACCAATACAAGATAAACCGTTTTACTTTTACTACATTATAACAGTTAAACCTACCATGCAAGAAACTAATCTATAAACTAGTTCATTATATTATAATTTGGTACTAACATACCATACAAGAAATCAATATCCCCCACCCACCAACCAGGGTCCGCCACTGGCCATAACGCAACAGTATCAGCTTGGTCTGAATACAAAACATAGAGAAGTTCATTCAGACACAGAAATAGCATCAAGGTTGGAAGCTTCTGAATTCTTGATGTGTCCACCTACGCAATGCACAATTATTAACAGTAAAAAATGACAAAGTTTACAAAGTCATCAATTTTTAAGAAAAAAACCATGTCGGATTCTGTTCTGTTTTTTGTTTTATAATATTTATATAAAATACAATGATTATATAGTATTTATTTCGAAAGTATTTTTGATGTAAATTACATTGATGTATGTCTTGCTCTTGTCGGCTCATTACTAAACGTCTACTACTAATTTCTATGTAGGATGTCAGATCGGCAAAATGCCCAATTTTAAAGCATTTTGCAGGGGTTTTCAGAATATAACTCCTGAACGAAATAAAGAACAAAAAGTGAAAAGACATTAGCATATAGACGGGGGTTACACATCAGCCGGTGGTGTAGGACGGAGGGTCAGACAAGGAAAACGTCGAGTTCTCGTGTACACATTGGTGTGTACCTAAAAGGGCTCTGGGCGGTGAAAATTCGAAGAAGAATAGGTGGAAAAGTCAGACAAGGAAAACGTCGAGTTCTCGTGTACACATTGGTGTGTACCTGAAAGAACCCTTGGCCGTGAAAATTCGAAGAAGAATAGGTGGAAATGTCACTGTCTGGACAAAATTCTCTGGGCAATATTAATAATAACGTTTTAGTACACATTACATTGTTGTGAGTACGTTTGTATTAATAGTACAGGCGCTGGAAACTAAAAACTACAGAAAGTAAGACTTGCTAAGAATATTAGTTAATGCAGGTATAAAGGATATATTAAGGAAAACAGCGAGGGCAAAAAAAATATCTTACAACTATATGCACACTTGAAAATTGTCAGAATTTATTAGATCAACAAATAAGTTGACGTCAGTGTATATTCATTGGAACTAATGGGAATATAGTGACAAAAACAAACTTGTCATCTTGAATTTATAATAAAACCTAAAAACCAAAATATCCGTTCTTATAGACTGTCATAAAGAGAACAAAATATATTAAGTGCCCGACAAGGTTGGCGCTTTGAGTAGTGGTTGTGTATAATACATGATAGGATGTCTTTCATTTATTTTTCCTGACTTTATAAACGTGACTAATTCGTTACGACTCTTAACATTGCGCAACAATATTGAATTCTTTATCGTCTACAGCATCGCAAAAACGAAAATAATGGCCTTTTTTGTTGTCTATCTTCATGAAGGGTGATTTTTTCTGTAAATGAATCGACGTATCATTTTGTTTGTCGATCGAACCTATTTTGGTATATATCTAGATCAGGGTGAAAGGGGATTGTTGTGTCCTCCATTAAGTGTATGAATGGATTTATCTAAGGCATCTACTGGAAGCAATGATATCAGAGCAAGTAACTTGAAAATATAATTTTATATCACACCGATACCGCAGTTTGCAACAACAACAAGTTGCTACCTCGAACATCAGGTCAGGTAAAACGGAAGTAACACATGATGCTTGAAACAATAAAACACACATAGTCTAAAACACAAATAGCAACTAATGTTGATCACGTGTGGAACTTCCGCTTTAATTAGCCTATGCTACCCCCCCCCCCCCAACACACACACACACACACACAAATAGCAACTAATGTTGATCACGTGTGGAACTTCCGCTTTAATTAGCCTATGCTAACCCCCCCCCCCCCCCAACACACACATACACACACACACACACACACACACTTCATTATCCCGGTTGGTGGAGAAAATTATGACGTCAAACAACATTTCATTTCATTTGCCTTCCATATTTTAAGGACTCTCGTCTTTGATTACCCCTTAAGAATTATTACGGACAGTGTTAATATTATCGTAATGAAGTCGTTACAGTTATTCGTCATTTTATTGGATTCAGACCGGGCGAACAATAATTTTGCCCATTGACCATTCCTATCAAATTCCATTGCGTTTAACGCTTTCTGCCAGGGATGAGTGAATGAGGTTCACCTTGAGATACACAGACTGGAAGTAGCACAATAGTAAACATGCAACGACCCGCGGTAAATTTCAATGTGGTCCATCTCTGTTATTCTTCCGCCTCAAAATCTTGAATATTCACCAAAACCTGATAGAAAATGTAAATTCAAACCCGTTCCGTCGATTGTACGCCAACTTATTAACAGAAATCTCCATGGAAAAGGAAAGGGAAAGACAATGTGTTTAGTCTCAGGGTTAGACTGAGAAGGACCTGTCAGTATGGTATGCTGGGGGCCCCTAAAGAAGTTGATGTTCTGACAAATTGATTGGCAAAGCAGTCTCCGGAGGTATATAGGATATACCCTCGAAAGAACCATGCAAAAATTCGAGGTAGAGAACCCCTAGTGTTGATGACCCTAAAGGGTCCATGCTCAATGGCTTCCGGTCGCCAACCGCCCCTACTCCCCCCCTACTCACATAGAAATACAAAAGTTGTAGCTGTTAGCAGGATTCATAATAGTAATCCTATCCCCATTGTATTCAATGTTAAATCGATGCCATTCTTTATCGTGTACCATTATTTTGAACATTCAGATGATCTTAATCTTTGTAATCACAAAGAATCCAATATGTGATATGGAATATAGTCTGATTCTAGCAAAGGTAACTATGGGTACCAGGCAACGCGAAGGTCAAAGTGAGAGAAATCCTTTTAAATACATATTGATATACATGTTAACGATTTCTTTCTATGTATACAAGGTATATTATGTATATATTTCAGATTATGAACACATATCTTCTAAAGAGAAACAGCTGATAAAGAAATTATTAGATAGGTATGAATTACATGGGAAGGAAGGAAGACCCGTTGTTAACACATCGGACAGTATTACAGTCAAGTTCGGTCTTTCCTTGATCCAGATTCTAGACGTGGATGAAAAGAACCAAGTATTGAAAACCAATGTTTGGTATAATTATGTAAGTAGATTTTTGTTTAAAAAACAACCTTAATGACAAACATCACAGATTGTCCTCGTGTTGGCCTTGAACGGTCACACCATGGCTCAAGAGAGGTGGGAATGAATGGACTTGTGATTACACAACCGTCTTGAAAACTTAACGGTAGATCTTCAAGAAGAATATTAATAGAAATTAATTTTACCCCTTTTCTATTTTTCGTTGTTAAATCATTATTAATAACTTGCTTCCACGTAGGGCTCTTTTGCAGTGGGGTCGAAACCACGCCATTAGATCAATGACAGATCTTATGATCTAAAGCGTACGAGTTAGACCACTCGTTTACCAATTTGATTACAGAATGAACAATTAAATAATATAATTATATATTGTAGAATTGGAAAGACGTGTTATTAACTTGGAAACCGTCGGAATATGATAATATTACAGATATAAGAATACCATCCACAAAAATATGGCTACCTGATATACTACTGTATAACTTGTAAGTTTTTATAGTTTAATATTTAACTAAATATTGCTCTGAAAAGCATGCTGGCTTGCTAACCTGGAGGTTCCGGGGTCGATCCCGGTGTTGGCCGAGAAAGTTAATTGGGATTTTCCGACGTGGTGTCCACTATTCAGGGGTGCAGAACCGTTGGCCTGGCAAGGAACAGCCTCTGGTCATTAGGATGGGACGAAACAAACGATGCCCCCTGTACACACTGGTGTGCAGATAAACTATCATAAACACTCTTTGGCAGTTGGACGTAGAAATGAGGGTAATTCGTAGTGCCGCTCATCCTCGGTGACCCCAGTGGTCTAAATCCATTAAACTCCACCCTGGGTTAATCCATTGGGTATTCACGTATTCAAAATATCTACCCTTGATCGTAGCTTGAGTATGCGAAGCGATCAAAAGCAGTTTACAAATCGATCTTAGCCGCATTGTTTACTTTCACAACAATATATGCCGAGATCAACCTGGCACATTATAACCCATCACACTATAAGGATATTCACAACACGATAAGCAGAAATCAAACTGGCACACTATAAGAAATTCGCTGGTCGACCGTGACTGCAATTTGAATACGTATCTTGCCCATGGAGTAACCCAGGGGTAAGTGGAGTGGAATGGAATGAGACCACTGGGGAAACCGAGGATGAATGCCGCTGTCGGGGCAATATATCCTACATAGCACAATAGGACAATACTAGTTTTCATTAGCCCGGATGATGCAGAAAAGTAAGATGTTAAAACCCATTCCATTATTTCATATGCATCTTGTCAAGTCCCCTAATTTGTCATTTCATTTTTCTTGACTTTGAATTTGTTTGACTTTAAGGGTCGATAAAACTATATATTTTATAGTCCAGTAATTTGTCATTTCATTTTTCTCGACTTTGAATTTTCTTGTCTTTAAGGGTCGATGATACTATATTTTATAGATAATTAGATCAAAAAATAGGTTTCCAGGATCACCAATACTTGTGCCTGAACACATTACCATTTGTTGACGGTATTTATTTATGTCCAGAAGTAAGAATGTCAGTTTCCCACACTATGAATGAAATCTTAATCTTTGTATTTTACTAAAGAATAAAATGAGCTTTGATAGATATATTTGAATAAATCAAAAGGAAGACTCTACGAAACGTTTATCCTAACCCTGTAGAGCTATCTGAATACAAAAATACAAACTTTAAGTGTCGATGTGAGATTAGTGATAAGTCCCCGGATTGCCCGATGTCCCCAAGTGACCAAATAACCATTTCTACTTACATAATTGACTATACTATAGTGGAAGGTGATCCTAGCGTCACTCATAGAGCTGAATAATGGAATACAAGAGTAATGTAACGACTACGGAGGTTAAATTGTATGTCCAAACCCATGTTTATCGACTGTACAATATAATTTCTTTAGCTGTAAAATATCTCACTTTTAATATTTTCTGGTAAACTTCGCTGTTTCTATTATCCTTTCGAATAATTCTATATATATATTGAAACCAATAATATAATACAGGAGAATAAACAATCCCACGAAATCATGGAAATCTCCACATTAAACACAAAACTATCCAAACAGAGTATTATGACTCCAGTAATATTTTCATTTTTATTATTTACTCAGATCGCTTCTTGAACATTTTGTGATTATACCCCATTGGTATTCGTGATGGTATGTTCAAAATAAACAATGTTCTTGAAGAGACATTGATGAGCTCTTAAAGATATTAAACGACCCTAGTTTTACCCATGTCGTTATACATGATTAGGCGTATTATCATCTACGGTATGCAATGTGTATTGTATCAGAGCAGCTCTTTGGCGCCTTAAACATTTTTTTATTAGTAATTTTAAGCATTATACAAAAATAACATCTAGGAGTGTCGTAGTTTTAAGATCAAATACTAATTTTGGAAATTAATACACTTCCAGGAATGAAAATGTCTAGACGAAAATTGAATTAATTTTTATCAAACAAAAATTAATATAGAAATGAGTTTCTAAAAAAAATAAAGTCCTTCTTATCGGGGTTATTAAAGCGCTTTATTTTGGCTTTGGAGAACCATTGGCGATCTTATAATTTTTAGAAAGGGAGAACTTATTAATATTTTTAATTATAGCAAATATCGGAGAGTAGAATTTATTCCATTTACAGCAGTGTAGTGCAGGGGTATGGTGATGCCCGCTGCAAAATCCTTGATTGATTGTCCATAAGAGTCATGTCGTAATCCCCAGTACTGAGAAATGTGAGAAAGGGAAAGATTTTAAATATGTAAATACAGATAAAAAAAACCCCATTTTATTCAAATTAAGAAGGGCAGCTTGTACAAAGATATTAACAGGGGTAATTTCAAATTAAAAAAACAACATTTTTTTTATTTATATCTGTGATTTACAGTCTTTAGCTAAAGTGGGACAAGTAAAATAACTGATAAAAATTTACAATCCATGTAGGATTATTATCAGCTTGTTATTGATACTGATCGCTATTTAAGTCCTAATTTTTTTATGGGATGCACGAAAAAGTTCAAACAAACCACTCATCATTTAAACGGTTCCTTTTAAAGATCAAGTCAACAGAAAAATCACGTAGCTGTAATGGCGAATTAACTGATATGTTCACCAGCCTCAAAAAGGCTTTTCCATTGATTAATATCGAGGCAAGGAATAAATATGATGCTGACCAAAACTCAAATATAATTACTTGAATCTGTTTGCTAAAATTGATATTTTGTAAACATAGTTGAAAGATCAAAGCTGACGAGTGTTAAGAGAATCAAACGAGCGTGTTAAGGGCGGACGCATGGAGATTAGAGTCAAATTTCGGGGTAAAAACGTCAAAATGTTGTGTCCCGATCTCCGGGTTTGATATCTGAATACAATCAGTTGTCGTCATGATGGGTTGAAAACTAAAAAATAATTAGTTGTAGGGCTAGAGAACGATGACGAAGCGCACACAAGACTGATTAAAGAAGCGAGGTCTATTGGTAAAGTCAACCTGTAGGCGAATTACTGCTGTTACCATGGGAATACGTGCGTTTGGATTCATTCCTGGTTAAACACAGATAAATATTAAATACTCGACCATATCGCCATAACTAAGTCCGGAATAAACAAAGACACGTAACGTCTACAGCTAGATGCACACAAACTGCGTTCCGTCTTGGAATTGAATCTTGCGGTCTACGGTACCGATATTGGTTATACTTTATGGATGTCGGTGAGAAAACCTAGACATGATCCGTGACCAAACAAGTATTTAGTTCGCCTGCTAGAGAACGATGACGAAGCGCACACAAGACTGATTAAAGAAGCGAGGTCTATTGGTAAAGTCAACCTGTAGGCGAATTACTGCTGTTACCATGGGAATACGTGCGTTTGGATTCATTCCTGGTTAAACACAGATAAATATTAAATACTCGACCATATCGCCATAACTAAGTCCGGAATAAACAAAGACACGTAACGTCTACAGCTAGATGCACACAAACTGCGTTCCGTCTTGGAATTGAATCTTGCGGTCTACGGTACCGATATTGGTTATACTTTATGGATGTCGGTGAGAAAACCTAGACATGATCCGTGACCAAACAAGTATTTAGTTCGCCTGCTGAAATCTGCACTATTTGTCTGAAGTTCCGCTGCTCACGTTTTAGGCCGTGGTACCAGGGCAGAGGCGACCATTTCTAATCACAAGTAGATTACATTTAATCAAATAGATGGTTCACAGCGATAAACATCACATTTTATTGTACATGATGCCAATATAATGTAATACGTTAAACGTAATATGCACTAATGCTTCCTATTACACTTGTAATATTAACTAACCAAAAAGAAAGATTATGATAATAATAATAATAATAATAATATACTTCATAGATGGTCCCGTTTGAACACAAAGGATGCATATTTATGTCTTTAATTAATAGTAGGGTCGCCTGTCCAACCTCGTGGGTTTTCTCCGGGCCCTCCCTCCGGTTTCCTCCCACTGCTAAAACCCCCTACGCGCAAGCGAATTATTGAAATAAAATTAAACCATATGTTAGTCCCGAAATGACCTAGTTTGTGTCGAGTGGACGTTAACCCCCCTCTCTCTCTCTTTCTCTCTCTCTCTAAGTAATAAATGAAGTATTTGGACAGGGTGTGAAGGCTATGGAGGGGGTGGGGACAGGTAGGGACACACAACGAAATTGTTTATTATTTTTGTTTATTTAAGATGTGTGGTTAACACAAAAAGGATACACATTAATGTTTTTTTGAGCAAATGAAATATTTGGAAAGGGGTGAATGGGGGTAGGAGGAGATGGACAGCAAAGGTACAGAATCCGACGAATTATTTTTGTTTATTTTTTTATCAAAGACGTTGGTTAACACGTGCCTATCATCGAATTCAAAACGAACCTTAACACATAAACGCATAAATATTACTATTATTTACTTTGAAAAAAATATCTTCCTAAATAAATAAATATACATATGATGGAAAAGATGATAAGACAACACAACATGGTAATTATTCACCTACTGTAAATAATTAAATAGGTTATTTCAGCATGTGTATCCTTGGACTCGGGTTAAGGGTTGGGTGTACACATATTATTTATGTTAATAGACCTTTGTCATGAGAGCTATCACGAACCAACCAATATATCTGACTATGTTCACCAATCCGATATATATCTGATTTTAAGATTTAATTAATCATCATGTTAAAGCTGTGTTAATTGGGTCATCTGTTGCACCTTCAAAACATACAAATCGAGTCTATGATATTTCTTATTAAATATACATTATGACGAGATAAATCTGCCTATTGCATGTGTTTCGTTTGGGCTGATATGTTATATAATTATTAATTATACATTTATTCACCTGACCAACCGATCATCAACTCTCTAGAACATCGGATGGTTGTAATTTTGAAAGGATTGAAACACGATCGTCATTTAATAATTTCATTTAAAAATGGATAATCGAGACTTTGTTTTTTATTGTAACAACAACGGTTTCAATGCAAATCGAGACTATATATTCGCTTTTCGCCAAACATTCATAACTTTGCTCAAATAGAAGTAATTTGACTGAAATGTACAATATATTCCCTGTTCACGATCTAATTTTATACTACTATAACGAGAACTGTCAGCTCTTCATCTGATGCTTATATAATTCATCTTTAGCAGATAAAAAAACCTTTTATACGAAGAAAATGGTTGAAAAGCGTACATTAAATACGATAATGAAGACATCCAATACCTTAACAAGTGTAACTACCGGATGTGCGTACTGTAAAAGATGAAAAGTCAAAGCAGGGACAAAAGTAAAGCATAGACATAGCGTCGGGTAAATGATGCGTTACCCATAACGGCTGCATTTCTAGATTTTGAATAGAAAATACATTCCTAATAATCATTCCGTTGATGGTTATATAATTAATATTTCTGACTTCAAAAGGATATTTCATTATTTATTTTAATTGCTGATTGAACATTCTATAATGATATTGGTATTCGTGATGGTGTGTTCAAAATAAACATAATATGTTCTTGAAGAGACATGGATGGGCACGTTCTATCAAAATAATTTACCGGATGTGCGTACTAGGCGCGAATTAAAATGTCAAAGCCAATAGGAGCAAAACTAACATCCTGCACGTTTCAAGTCAGTAGCTTGAAGCGTATATATGGTATTAGTGTCAGTGGCTTGTGGCACGAAGTAACAGTATATTGTCGCATACATAATATATTATGTCAACGCTTGGGCGACATAATATATTGTGTTGACGCTCCAAGCGTGTTAGCATATTAGACCTGTAGACTCAGTGGAATGTACGCGTCATCAGAGCGGATCCAGGGGTTGGACCATGGGGACCGGTCCACCCCCTTAACAATAGAAAGTGTCCCTGTAAATAAAAGAGGGCATCCTTATCAGAAAAAGGGCACCTGTGATGTCAGAATTTCAAAAAAGGGCACTTTTCTTTCGGATTAGGGTTAGGGTTAGGACACAGAAAAGAGAGAAAAAAACAGAAAAGAAAAAAACAATCGAAACTTACCGATTCCATGATGGAAAATACCGCCAAAATATGTCTCCAAAGCATTCATTGGTTATCAAAGCGCCAATTAAATCTATCGTTGCAAGTTCATGCCTAGTCACCTCCATCCTAGTTCCAAGCGTTGACATAATATATTATATCGCCCAAGCGTTGACATAATATATTATGTATGCGACAATATACTGTTACTTCGTGCCACAGGCCACTGACACTAATACCATATATACGCTTCAAGCTACTGACTTGAAACGTATCACCTGAAACTAAAGCATAGACATGGCGTCCGCATTAAACAGTCCTGAAATGACGCGTTACCCGTAATAGCGGTATTTTCAGATTTATAATAGAAAATACCTTCCTAGTACAGTCTTCAGTTGGTGGTTATATAAGATTTCAGACTTCTTGGAAATATTCATTAATAAATAAAATAAAATCGTAACATTGTGCACATTTTCCAAACGTTGGTCAAGTCTATAAATATCTGGAATAATACATTGTATATTTTGGTAGAATTATTTTGGCAAGGCCTATGACTATGAGATGACGATCTTGTGATTTGTTAAACCGCCATAACCTTTTACGGTAGTTCTCTTTACATTTCAAAGTAATAAAACGAACAATATATTTGTATCATTTCAGTGCTGATGACCGGTTGAAAGAACAGCGTGATGCCTTGGTTGTTGTCTCCAGTGATGGCAGTTTGTTGTGGATGCCCCAAGCTATATTAAGGAGTTCCTGCTCTTTCAACACTCTCTACTTTCCTTTTGATGAACAACTTTGCATACTTAAGTTCGGTTCTTGGACCTACAATGGTTTCAGACTGAATATCCATTTTCCAGCTCCCGATGCGGATAAGATGGATTTGTTGGAATACATCAAAAATCACGAATGGGATATAACAGAAAATACAGCCATACGAAATGAGATGTTTTATACCTGTTGCCCAGAGCCCTACCCGGATCTCACCTTTTCAATCCGGATTAAGCGAAGAGTGGCTTTCTATACGTTTATTCTGATCATGCCTTGTGCTCTACTGTCGCTTCTAACGCTTGTTATCTTCTGGGTACCTCCTGAATCACCGGCTAAACTTATTTTAGGTAGGTGTATAGAGCAATTTTATAAAGTAATTTAAAACAATTACAAGATCTTTTATGGGTTTTCAGATGACTTTCAGGGATGGTTGGACCTCTGAAATGGGTGTGGGGCTGCTGTAAGAGAAACGAGTTGAAGAAGAAAAATGAATACAGAAATAGCCTTATCAAACATCATCCCAAGACATGTCTCATTAATTTAGGAATACAATTTTCAAGAATTTGCTGTTTTCTAAAAGATTATTTTATCATAGGCAAGCGTACAAAAGATAAATTCTTCATTTATTAAGACGGTGCTTTGTTTCTTTTATTTCGGAATTTTATAATGTTTAGAAACGGCGAATTAAATTTGTTATGTATATTCTGAATGGGAAACAAAAGGAAAATATTCCCAATATATGCATTAGATTTTATTGATCGCATTCAGGATAATAAAGACTCAAAAATATATAATAGAATAGCATAACAATCCCAAGAAAGAAAATTGAAACAATACCAAGATAAAATCTTGGCCTTTTATTCAATTTAAAATTACATCTGAAATGTCACATACGAAAGCAAATGGAACTAAAAAGTTCTTACGTCTTCTGGTCTCGAGACAACGCAGCCAGTCGTTATTTAAATTCCTTAGAGAATCTATGGCCAGAACTTGTTGAATTGGTAACGTCATTGTTTTGACACCTCGGAGCAGTGTAGACATCCAAATCCCTACCTACTTCAAGAAATCATGTATGGTTTGCCTCTCTGAATCCGATTATTCCGTCATTATTCCTATCGCCAGCATCCGTTATTTCTCAAACTTCAAAACTTAACATAATTATGATATATTATTCGATTTTATCTGGTGTTAGTGGCAGCCATTTTTTGTTTCAAAAGTCCTAGATATTTAAATTATTCCAAAGAGATAATATACAGTTTCTCCTATGGGCTTTGAATTCTACCAGGCTGCCAGTCTGTGAGAATGAAGTAAAATTTATTAGTTCTTATCTAAATTGAAGTAATCATGCAGGATAGTAGTATTGACTACCGTTTGAGCTTTTTATTTTAATTGACATCACAGTATATAAATTAAGAATGCCTTGATCAACAGTAAAGATTTCAATTTATGTTAAAGTCACAAACCCTTTAGAACAAAGTTGACCTAACGTTGTCATCCATCATCTTAAATGAATATTTATGGCATTCACAGTCAATTTCTCAGCTTTTAAGTTTTTCTCCCAATAAAATTAAAATTGTTTAGTAAACTAGATAAAATGAACTTTATTCATTACACCCTGTTGGTGCAGAAAAGTGGGGCGTTAAATCAAATTTAATTTGAGATGAAATGATTTCTTATGTACAGATCTACATCAATTACAACTTTCTTAAATTTACACTTCCTGTGCCCAAAACATTGGGTTGTATACTTTTTTCTGTGTCGAATCAATCAGTGAGTATGGCGTGCACCTTAAAGAACCATTGCAATTTGGAATTCGATGAAGAGTAGGCGGAAACGGCACTACCCTGGCAAAATGACCTTCGTTGCATTTACTATATGACCTAGTTGGTTCAGAAAAGTAGGCAATTTAGCCCATATTTCTTTCGCATTTATATTATGCAAGCGTAAATGCTGATTGATTGAATTTGGTGGATGGTATCCCCAGTAGCTCTGGCAAAATCACCAAAGTGTTTGATTTCTGTAAGCTGTCAAACCAATTTGCGAAATTCAAATCTTGCTAACCTTTTGTTTAGAATCTTAACTTAAGAAGGGCAAACAGTTAAGTGGATTCTAATCCAATTTTCTTGCCATATATCCCCATTCCTAGATTAATAAACGATCTGGAATACACAATCTAAGATGTCGAAAAACGTATTCCAGTGGAATAATTGGCGTTTATTTCAAAAAGGTTAACAATAACCAGAGTGTATTATTATTACTATTATATTGAATGAAAAGGCGTGTTGGGTAAATTATAGAACGTCTCTCTTTCCAATGACTTTCTCTGTTTTGACATCTCATTTTCACCATGTAGAATGGCTTATTGATATTTTTACCCCAAATACTAGTCTTAGTTTCTGACTGTCCACTTAAAGAAGCTTTATGTAAGAGCTAAATCTGCCTATTGCAGGTCTTATATTGGCCTCAAATGTTATATAAATTATGAATTAGGCATTTATGTACATGTCAATCATAATCAGTGGTGCCAAACATGCGGTCCGCGGGTCAGATCTGGCCCGCCAAGGTTTTAAATGTGGCCCGTGGAACGAATTTCAACAAAGGTATCGATGATTCTTAGAAACTAGCGATGGGAACCATTTATTATTGTTTTCCAGTTTCAATAAGACTCTTAACTTATTTACTGTATGTCATAGATATCTAAGTTGGCTAATTTGGCCCATTTCAAAGTATTGTATTCCATTATAATACGTAACGATTTTAATCATATAAAACAATCAAATTTTATCTATCTTGATATCTTTGTATATCTCCGGCCCACTTGATGTAAAATTTTAGTTTATGTAGACCCTGAATCGAAATGAGTTTGACACCTCTGCTCTAGACCATCATGGGACGGTCGCGATTTTGAATGGTTTAAATCACAATCGGTATTTAATAACTGAATGTAAAAATAGATAATCGAGACTTTGGTTATTATCGTAGCAATGGTGCTTGGCAATCAAGACTATTGTGAAACCTCGAAACGCTTAGTAGAAAGTTTTAAATATATTCATCTTTCATTATCTATTTTTGAACTATACTATTCAAAAAATGTAGGGGATATTTGATTTTGGGGGCATAATACTAAAATATGCAAATGACTACGAAAAAAGTCACTATAGAACCTAACAGAAGAAACATTTCCAGTTACATGTGACGCCCAAACGCACCAATAGCTACCGCATGGAATGCAGGTGATGCTTGGGATCATCATGGGGGTCCAACCCAAGATTTGCACGACTCTGACTTTGAATGTTACAGTCATTGTGGCATTGAATTCCAGGGTGGAAACATCAGTTTAATTGTTTTAGTGACCAGAAAACAAATTTTGATATGCGTCGGCTTACCCAAAATGAAAGGTTACGTGCCCTTGGCATGCTACAGATCGGCACAACACAGGCGGTTGTGGCGCGGACGATGAATGTTTCTCAGTCTGTCATAAGCAGTCTATGGTCCAGATACCGTGATACACAATCTGTACAGGACAGACCACGCTCAGGTCGACCAAGGGCGACAACTCAAGCCCAGGATCGATTTATCCGTACCTTGGCCTTGAGAAATCGTGTCATCACAGCAAATCAGATCAGCGCTCGTCTTCAAACAGACACTGGTGTGAGAGTGAGTGGCCAGACGATTCGGAATCGACTGCATAGGGGTCACCTTCGCGCCCGACGTCCTCGCGTGATCCCTTGTTTGAGAGATCATCACATTCAGGCAAGACGTCGTTGGTGTAGGGTTCGTCAACACTGGGATAATCGACGCTGGAGCAATGTGATGTTTTCAGATGAGTCAAGGTTCACTGTTGATTTTTTGGACAGACGTAGGAGGGTGTGGCGTCGTCGAAACGAGCGCTTCCAAGACATTAACGTCATCAGACATGATCGATTTGGGGGTGGTTCTGTTATGGTGTGGGGAGGCATCACTGTTGCTGGAAGAACGGCTTTACATGTTGTTGCAGGGCGTGTTACAGGCCAGTACTACCGGGACAACATCTTGGCAGTCCATGTTGTGCCGTTCGCACGACGTCATGGCCGCCGTTTCATCTTCCAGGATGACAACGCAAGATGTCACAGGGCCAGGATCGTTACAGGTTACCTCCAACAACAGAACATCACCACATTACCTTGGCCAGCACTGAGTCCCGACCTCTCCCCCATCGAGCATGTCTGGGACATGCTTGGACAGAGGTTACGTCAACGTCAACAACGTCCTGCCAATGTCCAAGAACTTGCTGCTGCGTTACAACAGGAATGGGACAATCTGGACCAAAATGACCTTAGACGTCTCATTAGGAGTATGCCACGTCGGACCAATGCTTGTTTGGCAAACAGAGGAGGATTTACCCGTTACTGACTTGGTTGTGATGCTGTGGTAACTTTGCTGTTTGACCCCGGGTATCATTTTACCCTTATAATGGTCAGTCTGTGCCTTACTTAGTCTAACGATCATTTGGAATAAATCGATGAATGTGAACTTCATTTCATTTTGTCATTTGTTTCTTCGTCAGTTTCATTAGGTGACTTTAATAACACTTAAAAATCAAATATCCCCTACTTTTTTTGAATAGTATATAATAAAAAGAACGACCAGTTCTTTATATAAATCTTACATAATTCATATTCAAAATATTGTCTAGGCATTCTATGCTTTGCTGTTTACTTTTTCAAAAACAAGATACAAATTTGACGTTTAAATTCAGGTAGATGCATTTCGGATTGGTTACTGTTAAAGCTTATGTTCTCTTCTATTTATGGTTATCGTCAGTCGATCTTTCAAAAACTCACATCAATAAAATTGTTCTCAAATTCTTCCTTTTGAAAACTTGTGTTAAATATAATCAATATCTGTTTTGGGGGGAAAATCCAAATATTTGTGGCCGAATGTGTTAAAATTGGAACTGTTTCAACATAATCGTCTTTATGAGATTTATAGACCCTCAAGGGATATATTATTTCGTTATGCTAGACTTGAGCTTACTCCATATAGCTTAACGGTTTTGTAAACCGACTCACTGTCTCATGATAGTAGAGTGGAAACTGAAATTTATCCATTGATGTAATATTAAACATAATATTGATATTAAATACAAGAGTTAAATCTGCCCATATTAAGGTTTTTTTTCTAGATTCAAATTGAAATTTAGACATTATTCACACGATAAGCCGATAACCAACTCTCTATGACATCGGATGGCCAAGATATTAAATTCGTTTGGCTGTTGTGTTTAATTTAATATACATATTATTTTGTACATATATCTGTATGCAATAACCTTAAAACTTTGTTCTATTTTTAGGTATGAATATTTTTTTGGCGTTTTTCGTACTTCTGTTGCTACTGGCGGAATCAACTCCTAAAGCGGCTGCTACCATACCACTTATAGGTAAATAACAATTACATAATTTTTTAATTTGAAAACAAAATGTAGTGCGCTCCCATTTTTTGAAACCAGTTCCGGTTCGTAGAACGACTACTGTCGTCCGTAAAAAAAGGGTTTGTGTCTGGATAATAATAGTCTGTCAGCTGTAATAAGGGGGCATGGAACAATATTTAAAGGCATCTGTACTTCGGACTTCTTAAATACATAGCCGATCTGATGATCTGATTGGCTAGTGGATTAATACCTTTATACAAATCGCGTCCTATATTTCCAAACAAGTTAGACGTTAAATCCCATTTACTTCTAAAATTAGACAAGCGAGGCTATACTTAGATTGATGCGCCTGCAAGTCTTAGAACCATAGCTAAACCTATCACGGATTGAATTGCGCCATGCTACGATCCAGTATTTACATAAAAATGCAGCTGCTATTCAACAGGATAACACTGGGAAGTTATAGCCTATCGAGATAAATGTAACCGGGGATTATGCATGCCAGAAATTAGCGCTTCCCCTTTAATCAACCCGAATATAACTCTATGCTGAGACAAACATGCCCTAGAACATTAACCCTGGAGATGAAAAAAATGAAATGAAATGGGGTTTAACGTCCTACTGTTCTGCTCCTAACCTGGGCTAATGAAGACGGGCATACGCCATACAATGTGCTATGAGGGAAATTTTGCCCGGGCAGCGGCGCTACGGCCTACTCTTATATCGAATTCCAACTACCAAGGGATCTTTTACGTGCACGCCAATGTGTACACGGGACCTCGGTTTTTCGTCCCATCCGAACGACTAGACAGCTGTCCTTGTCAGGCCCTCTATCCTGCATCACTGACAAGGGGAAACCACGCCGGAAAATCTGAATGAACTTTCTCGGCCAATGCAGGGATCGAACACCCGACCTCCAGGCTAGCGAGCCAGCGTTTTACCCACTTAGCCACGTGATCCCCCACCCTGGAGATGAAAAGCTTAACAATTTCTTCATAGTTTTGAATACAAATTTCATAGTACGGGTGAACTAGTGTTATTCATCAGACTTGGAGAGTCTAAGCCAACATTTAAACAGATTAATACGGCACTTCAGAGGAAACCTTTCCAGTGGCAGTACTACAAATGCAGAGATACTGAGTTCAAATAATTTTGGTGCCTTAAATACAATATGTGATATCATGTCCTCACCGATTTCGCTGTTGATGTCATATTTGATGTGCAATGTTAGGAACACTGCGGATAAGTTAAGATAAATTAAATTTCAGTAATTTTGTCTTGCATTCGCATTTTCTTGCAGATGGGTGTTTGGATTGATGGATTGAGATCTATCAGCGGGGTATTGTTTGGACGCAAGTGTTGAAATTTTGAGACGGTCTCTTATTTAATTACATTTAATGTTTTGATTTGCTTGGCAAACATTGAAATTTAAACAAATATTATATAGTCTGCCCTGTGAGACTCTCCCCCAAAAGCCCTTGACAAAATGTAAAACGTTAAATCCCATTTTATTTCAATTGTCTTCTTCAAATGGTTTAATGGACGTGACTGGCAAAATATGCCTGAAGCCATTGGATACGATACTAGTTTATTTGAACAGAATGACGATCTCACTTACTCTCCTGTTGTATTAAAGATGGGTTCCCAGAAAAGTATTTATCGGGTGGTTATTTCCAATAAAAGTATGGTAATTTTGGTATATATGGAAAGTAGAGATATCCAATCTTTCTAGAAAAATACTGGATTCCCCGAAAAACACTCATGGAGCGTATACAGGACAAAAATGTAAGGGTTCCCCTAAACAACAGCCCGACGATTAGGAATTTTTGCACGCGTGATGTCAAAGGTCACACGCGAACATTGAGCGCTTGATGTATAAGTTGATAAACTTTATGAAGAGTTAGACGTACAACACTTTCTGAGATAAAAATAATGGTAAAAGACGGGGGTAGTGGGTAATCCGAGAATTTAATTAGGATTCGATATTTGTAATAAATAGTAAGCGATTAAAGACAACATCGTCTTATGTATGCAATGAATTCTCCTCGGACTTCCAAGAAAGGTAAGTCATGTGACGTAAACATGACCTGGTTTGATCGAATTTTTATAGCAGGACATTCCTTCGCAATTACAATGTTTGAGAAGGATTTTAAGCAAAGTTATGACAAATTAATTTGTTTGAATATGTTTTTAGTCCATATATACAATTAGATCACCCAGTTTGTACGCGGGAACCCATCTTTAAACTATTTGTATGCATTTATTACAGGTGCTTATTTCTGTTTGAGTATGGTAATGATCACAATGTCGACTGTATTATCCTGTGTTGTTGCTAACATGTTCTTTAGAGGTGTTCGCATTAACAGAGCTCCGAGATTCCTCAGATCGGTAAATATTGCTTTAGAATAATCACAAGAAACCTATACTGTTTGCCTACAGTTAGCTCCGCTTGAGTATAAACACGCTAAGTATACTTATCTACGCTAAATCTATTCAAAACATCAAACACTCATAACTTCGCTTAGAATAAAGTAATTTAACTTAAATTTTCAATATATTCAATTTTCATTATCTATTTTTGAACTATTATAGAACGTATTACATAATACGTCTGTAAACAATACCAGCATATATTATACTAGGGTATATTGTCATTTCAGTTTGTCATTGATGTACTAGCCCGAGCATTATGTCTCCGAGATAAGATTGTTGAACCTGAATACAGCCCGTTAACCCCCAAGAAAACTGGTCGTGTAGTTGGCGAGGCCCGTGGACAGTATCCCTATCGTGATATAAGGTTTGGACAAGTTCGTCTCCTGGATAATGGCATGGACAAACCTGGTAATAATGATTCTTCAAATGACAACAGTTTTAGCTTCACAACTCCTGGAGAGGATCAGTTTAACTTCAACAGATATTACGGGCCAGTCCTTGAAGAAGTCCGCTCTATTCGAGAAATGTTAGAAAAAGTCCGCGAAAAGAAAGCTAAAATAGAAGAGAAAGAGAAGTATGTGAGGGAATGGCGAGTAATTGCCTGTGTTACGGATCGAATCATTTTTATATTTTATCTCCTCGTAAATATAATCGGACTCATGGCTATTTTCTTAAAGCCCTATTTGGATGCAGAGGCTAAAAAAGCAGCCGCGCTGGCTGCTGAAGCGTCTCAGGCGGCTGCTACGACAATCGAAGCAGCTGGAACCGCAGTGGAGTCTGCCATTGATGCAGCAACAGTTTGAGTTGTTTAAACAAGAAAACCTATTGACAGATAGAGACTGTTTTATTTGTGGTGATAAACAAAACTGATTTCATGTCTGTATTACGATACCCAATGACGTCATCGTAGCCTCGAATTTGCAAATGGCCGCAGTCTGACTGTTGCATGGATTTTTCAACGATGGTGTAAATAGTTTATGTTGTGTCAAGTTTTTCTAGTACACAGTGAAACACCACACACTAATCAATTAACTATGAACTCACTGTTGATTATTTTATGGCTGATCACTTGCTTTATATGAACTAAGAATAGGCTGATTTCCATGTTAAGTGACGTCATTATCAACTATATGTATTTGTATTATTATATAAATGATGAAACCGTTTTCCAGCTCTTTCAATAATGTATTGAACGATGTTCTTGAATTAAACCGAGGCGTGATCCTCGTCTTATTTGTGGATTATTATTACTGGACAGTGTTTCACTTATTGCTATGCAGTCTCGTTGTCGTGATTGAACTCTACGTTAGGTCGATGTTCGGTCTATGAGGCGAGCCGGGTGTTCAGATAGAAAACACGTCTATAGTATATTAATGGCGGAAACATTAGTATTTATCTCAAAGCATTTATTTCATAGATATAAATGTTTCGTCTCCTTAAAAGTATATTACTTCATATTTTGCTTTCTCGGCTTTTAGAGATTAAATGTTTTCTTGAATAGGTTGTAATATTTGAATGATCCGATCAATAATTGTGTTAACAGATTTGTTGTTGCTTCATTTCGCTTGATTAGTGCTGAGTAGAAAACAGCTTCATCTAAGCTCTTTATTCACATTTCATTCACATTTCATTACCCCCGTCTTAAGCAGTCTGTCGTAGTTGATCGCCATCAGTGTCGTTACACTTTCATTTTCACGGGTATTTTCAGAGGTTTTTTTGAACTTGCACACATCGCAAGTATTATGAGCTAATTTTACCAATTTCCTGGTATTCTTCATATGGTAGATATATGGCGCCACAAGACACAATAGCGATAATAAATCGACTAATGACTCGGTTCCAAACATGCTAGTTTTCATTTCAGATTTCACACGCTGTTTATGGTTTAACAACAAAAATGGATATTCACGCAAGGGAGTCTCATTATTGCGTTAGGTTTTATTTTAAAATATATATATATATTATTAGATAACACCTTGTTCTATTATTTTTATCTTAAAGGTTATGTGGGTTAAAAAAGGTCTTAGATGAAATGCATTATCATTATGTCATTCATTAAATTTGATTCGGTTGGCATCAATTTTAACGTGGTAAGATCCGGTGGCGTTATACATTTTCAACTGGTAAGATTCGGGTGTTCTTATCAAATTTAATATACTCCGTATAATTTATGCTCAGCAGGAACAAAGATAACATGTTGATGTAAAATGGCCTTCTTGTCCACCTCCTTCCAGGTCATTTAGATCGATATCAGATGGTCAAATCCCTACTTCTAACCCTGGAGTATGGAAGGCACGGTAGATGTGGAGAGCAGAGGGGGACAAGAAATCTGTTTATGCCATTTAGAAAATCCCCTACCTTAGGGGTTTTTTTCACGACGTTGTGCATATTATTCTGATACAAATTAAAGGGACAACATGACAGAAAATGAAATAAAATGGGACTCGACGTCATACTTTCTGCACCGCTATGGGATAATGAAGACAGGGAAATAATAATAATAATAATAAAAATGTATTGATATTGCGCCTATTATCCAGTAAACTGCTCAATGGCGCCGAGTTGTCTATTACAGAAAATGATGTTACATTAAAGTAAAGAGATGAGTCAAAGTACTTCTTACAAATTATATCCCACATAAAGGCAATATTCTAAAGCAGTTCTTTCCACGCATCTTAACAAATTTAGTTTGACTTTTTATCCGATCCGTTTTCATGGACGTCAGGTGATTATCTATTCTTTTCAAATGTTCGTTTATTGACCTTCAGTCTTGTTGTCCTTTTAAAAAGTTTAATTTCACATTTTATTTGTATCACAACAGTGTATGTTTCTTCTTATTTAGTTTATTAGTACCATAGGTAAAGTGGTTTTCTAACTGTATATACATTTACTACTTATATGATATATTATACTATACTGTAAGGGGATGTCATCACAAGTTTAAAACTATTGCGGGTGATTGTAGATACGTGTCTTTGCTTGTGTGTTCCCCTTTTACGTCATAAAACTTGTAGCTTGAGCACGACTACTCTGTAAAAAAAAAAAATATTCATGCAATCAAAACGGAGTGGGTCTAGTATTGAGATTTTATCTTTTTATCCTGTTTCATGCGCGAGAATACATGTTGTTGCAGATCTCGTTTATGGCAGTTTTTTCTCGGTTGGCATTCTAGTAGTGTAAATTTCTGGAATGTCCAAATAACCGAATTTTGATAATTTTTAGATCCCTTTAATGTCTGACAGGGTTTCTGAGATTCATGTATTGTCCAGCAGGGTATCTGCATGAGATACCGTAAGATTATCGTACCGTAAGATCGCTTTAGCTCATCCACCATCTAAATATAATAATTGTGTAAGCGATTACGTGTTTCCGCACAGGGAGGTTGTATTCTTAATGTTCCTATATTTGTAATTTATTTCTGTGACCAAGAACGCTCTTATAACATGTATGAGAGGGCACTTATTTTATTCCCTCATAGATAATTTTACCACCCATTTTAAAATTCTGTTCTTTGATTTAAAGTAACGATGCGTCATTTGGGTCTCTGTTTATTTCACGCTAATACGTACTCGGAATGATTTTTTAACATTTGATTAAGGAAGCTAAATCAAAATACCAACGTTAAATAAGCTTTCGGGCTTGGATTCAATCGAATTTAAAACAGGCTTTATGAAACCTGTTCGCACACTACAAAATGGCGACATGCTTATTAATTAGCAAGATGCATAGATCTATGAAATTTCAATTCAACATATATTTGTAAATACTGAACGGAACTGAACCATTTTTAGACCGATATTTCTATTAGAAATCCATCTATTACATTATTATAGTTTGTAAGGGATTCCTATTGCGCAAAAATGATGCAATAAGACTTTAAGTGATTTAGTTAAAACCTAGTCAGGTGGGGATAATGTAAATGGAAGGCGCTAGTTAACTTTTACCGCAATATCTAATTGCAGTGGTATCAAATGCGCCGCAACTTCATTAGCACATATTTAGATGTAAATACAGAAATAAAAAAAAATATATATATAGTGTGTAGATATATAGATGCTTAGACAAACTCAAATAAACAATTCTGCATATGAAGAGGGTTTAAACACCAAGACAATTTACGGTTTAAATTTGCTTAATTTGAATATGTGTTGATTTCGATATTGTTAAAACCTACGATTTCTAGTAAATACGTCGATTGAACATTAAGGTATCATGTAAACAGTGGCGTATCTGCGGAAGATGGCGTCTATGGCAAGCAAAGGAATTGCGCCTCTTCTAATCATCTGACAACGACACTCCCTTTTTTGAAGGTAATTTTATTATAGAATCAGCTCAAAAATCATTTTACTAAAAATTATGGTACTATATGAAAATTATAAATACACCTCCCTGACTTAAACAGATACAAAATATTCTTACTGTCAGTACCATTTAGTGGCTCCACCTTCCAATAGCGCCCAGGGCACGTGCCCTACCTGCAGCACCGTAGATACGCCACCGCATGTAAAGCGACCATTTTTGGGGCCAAATTTGGCACTGAATTACAAACAGCGCAGCTTAGTTCATCTAAAGATAATAACTTGGGTTTAATAATGTTTAAAACTTGCCTATTTGTTTTATAATGAGCCTATACACAAACCCCACTTTTGTTTGCAAGAGAAACAAAACAACAAAACATAGTTTGCCTTTAATAAAAAGTAAATATATTACTTATTATTGTTTGTTAGAAATTGTTATTATTGCTTTATTATAAAATTGTAATTGTTATTATGTTATATTTGTACATATTCAATAGTTTTACCTTGAGTTACATCTTGAAACAATGTTTGTAAATTATCAGGTCGTGTTATTTGTAAAATATAAATATATAATTTTACAAGTGTACAAGTTAATCAGAGGAATAAACACAGTGCTAAATACATCTATTTATTTATTCATTCGTTATATATACAGTCGTCTTCATTTTCAAGTTGAAGCAGAAAAAGTAAAATTTTAAATCCCATTTCATTCATTCGTTATGTATAATAGCTGTCTTCATTAGCGGCAATACTTTATACCGGAAAACACAGGAAAACACCGGAAAACAACCGGTAAACACCAGAAAACAACCGGAAAACACCGGAAAACACCATTTTATACTGAATACCGGAAAACACCGGAAAAACCCTAAATACCGGAAAACACCCTAAATAGGTAACCCGGAGCCTGGTCCTCTGTGTGCGGTTTTGGACCAAATGAGCGCCGATGAAGGAAGGTCAAGGTCATTACGATGTTCGTTTTACAAATAGCCCCCCACCCCAAAAAATAAAATTTTCTGTCACAAAAAAAAATCGAATTTTTCCGAGAAATTGGTTTTACGAAAAAACATTCCGTAGAAAATAATTTTACAGGGAAAAATACTGGAAAAAAAAAATTGGGTGAATTTTTTTTTGAGAGAAATTTGGGAGAAGAAATTGTTAAAAAAAATCTGAAAAGAAATTTTTCTTTGACCGTAGGCGATCGCTCGCTTGTATGTTAATGAACTTATTTCATCGGCGCTCACCTGGTCCAAAACCACACACGAGGACCAAACTCCGGGTTACTAAATAGCTATCGGAAAACTTAGAAGAGTAAACTGTGCCCGAGATTTTTTTAGAGAGCGCGCCGCGCCGCGCCGCTCCGGGAGGGATCATCGTCAGGGTGGGACTGGGGTGGAATTGTCCAGTCACGTGACGAACATAGATCTTCCGTTCCTCAACCCATATTATTTCCACAGTCATTGTCATTAATCACAAATTACGGGATGATATACGAAAATGCAGGTTTACTTAGAAATAGTGCAAAATGATACTTTTCCATCTACAATCTTCAGATCAAAGGATGCAAGTTCTTACACAGTGCAGCATAATTTGTGCAACAGAAGACATCTCGAATATCGATTGTATGAAAAAACATTTCCTCGGGGACATTTTTTTCCGAATACGCATTCGGTGTAAGTCTTCAGCCACCAGGAAGTGGTTAACATAGTAATGTTTTATTACGATAGTAGTACATAAAACAAATTGTTTGCCGGAGGTTCTCTGGGAGAAAGTAGCCTCATCGGCTAGAGTCCTCTATTTCACAAACAAAAACAACAATTGCTTCCTTGAAAATTTATCGATCAACCCTTTTCACAGACGTCCAGCTTACCACTTCCCGTCAATGCAGTTTTCTCATGGACAATTGGGCGAAAGTTGGGTTTTTCTCAAGGAAAACTGGTCAACAAGTTGGGGAAAAAAGCTCGAAAAGTAATCCAGAAAAAAATCCTGTGTGCGGCCCTCGGAGTATGATGGAATATGTTGAATATTATTATGGTTCAAGTGATTATATGTGACCCTGGAATGAAAGTAAGCTCAGAAACAAGTAGATTTTTAGCCCTTCCAACGAGATGGATAGCTCTTGGAAAGGATAGACACTTTTCAGATTACAGCCTGTCCGAGAATTGCGTGGCATCCATTTCGTTTGGTGATTAGGACACATAGCGGTTAAACCTGGAACTTCAACTCGAACTATTCAGAGATTTATTAACTCGCTTTTGATGATACTTGCTGTTTTATGATGCGATTTCTTGTTACCTAGGGAGGAGGTAGCCTAGTCGTGCCTTCCACTAATTCGTACCACCCTGATGCCAGCGTTACTGGTAAGAATCAGGAGACCGGCGCAACCGGCATATAATGGGGCCCTCCGAGGGCTTCAACTCGAACTATTCAGAGATTTATTAACTCGCTTTTGATGATACTTGCTGTTTTATGATGCGATTTCTTGTTACCTAGGGAGGAGGTAGCCTAGTCGTGCCTTCCACTAATTCGTACCACCCTGATGCCAGCGTTACTGGTAAGAATCAGGAGACCGGCGCAACCGGCATATAATGGGGCCCTCCGAGGGCAGTGTTTAATCTACTGAAATACTGAAACACCTAAATCTACTGAAATTTACTGAAATTTACTGAAAACTAAAATTAAAATACAAAATAAAATATGGTCAATGATGGAGGTAGACTGATTGCGTCTTTTAAAACAACAAAATTTTGGAGAGAAAAAAATCGGAATTTTATTTTTTTTATAGCGGGGGCTGTTTGCAAAACGAACATCGTAATGACCTTGACCTTCCTTCATCGGCGCTCACTTGGTCCAAAACCGCACACAGAGGACCAGGCTCCGGGTTACCTATTTAGGGTGTTTTCCGGTATTTAGGATTTTTTCCGGTATTTAGCGTGGAACAGCTAGTAGGGTTTTGCCACGTCCTGAACAAAGATTAGTTCGGCCAGTGGTGTAAACATTAAACATTTCCACCATATAATTAGGAGCTGTTTTGGTTATTACTGATTTATAGGTGTTGACGAGAATTTTAAATTTTATTCTGGCTCTCACCGGTAGCCAGTGTAGCTGCTTCATATATACAATGAGATGTGATCATTTTTTGAGGTTCTTGTGACAAGTCTTGCAGCGTTATTTTGAGCGATTTGAAGTCTATCAAAAGCTGCTTCTGGTGCTCCAGATAAAAGTGAATTGGCATAGTCTAAGCGTGAAATGACCAAGGCGTTGATAACAGTTTTTGAGAGCACCTGGATTCAGGTAGTTCTTAATTTTGGAGATAGACCGCATTTGGAAATGCACGCGGCTTATAATGTTGTTTAATTGCGGTATGGCAGATTTTTAACTCTAGATTCGGGGAGGATATCACAGTTTCCAATCCGGATATCATCATCTTTTATTAAATTACGTGCTTGCGCCTTAGTTGATATTACCAGAAATTCATCGTTTAATTTTAGTTTGTTGTTCAACATCCATTTACGAATGTCCACAAGACAGTTTTCCAGCTTCCTTAGGGATAATGTCATAGAATCGTGGTGCCCAAGAGCAAAAAAGTCGTATAGCTGAGTATCATCAGCAAATCCGTGGTTATACACACAGTGTTTTCTTACTAACTGACCGAGTGGCAAGATATAGACGAGAAAGAGCAAGGGACCTAACACAGACCCTTGAGGAACGCCAATAGTTTGTGATTTAGGTTTGGAAACTGACCTGTTGCATTGGATTTTCTGTGATCTGTTATGAAGGTACGATTTTATCCATAGAAATGCAGCACCACCTACCCCAGTAACACTTTCCAAGCGCGTGAACAAGATCTCGTGATCTAAGTTGTCAAAGGCGGCGCTCAGGTCCAAGAGGATCAAGTGAGCAGCCTGGTTTCTGTCTAGACCAATAAAATGATATAATACAACACAAAATTTTCCTGCATTGAAAGAACGTTTTCTTTTGTGTATAATATAGCACTCTTTGTTAGCCCGGGTTGAAAATTGTGACGTAAAAACCCCGTTTAATTCATTCTTTATGTATACAACCGTCTTCATTATCCCGGTCGGGGCAGAAAAGTAGGACGTTACATTTTAAATTCCACTCCATTTATTCCTTATACATATAGCCGCCTTCCATCATTATCCCGGTTGGGGCAAAAAAGTTGGACGTTAACTCTAATTTCACTCAATCCTTATGTACATTGTGTTTCAAAATAAACTCGAGCAAATTGGTTAAATGTTTCAAAATAATGACAATTGATAACGTGATGTGTTTTTACTTAAGATTTGAAAGTAACAGAAAATGTTTTCCAGAAGAGCTACTTGTATTTTAAATATTGCTTATCTTCAGATTAACCATCTTATACTCAATGTGTGCGTTTTTAGATCTTAAGATCTGTCATTAATTCAGGCAGTTTAGTTTCGATCCTAAGCGTCTATGTGTCTTGTCGAACCTCGTGGGTTTTCTCAGAGTTTCAATCCCAACCGTCTACGTGGCTTGCACAACCTGGTGAGTTTTCTCAGGTTTCTCTCTCTCTCTCTCTCTCTGTGACACAAAAGTAGGTTGCATCCAACACCTAACAACACCATTTTCAAACCACATACTGGGTGTTATAACGTTATATCCAAAAGTTCTAAATCGAAAGGGAAAGTTGTTTAGTGCATTATCAGCACAATGCATCGGTTACTTCGCGATTTTCACTTCTACGGTAACATTTGCAAATCGCAAGAGTAGAATTTCGTTTGGTGTGCGGTGTTTTCGTTCCTCTACGTTTAATTCCAATTCTCAAAGAGTCATTTAAATGGAAAAGAACTACAGGTCAATGTTGCTTACGACAATTTGCCATCTGAAGTTGGCTGTTGTTTGGGGTTACGAAATTTCAGCTAGTTATTTTCAAACCAGCTGGTCTTAATTCTTGGAATGGACGAAAATGCCTTAAACGGCGATTTGAAATAAATGAGGTCACAAGAAGTAAAGTTTATTGATAGGTTCTTGTAGACAATTGTCAGGTTTCCATGTAGAGGTCACGCTGTACCCAGACGTTCAATAAAATCAATTGTGATTGGTTAATACGTCACGTTTATCCAGCGGTCTCTAAAGAGAACAATCTCGATTATGGCTATATCTGTACACGTTAATTTGTTGATTGTCTTATATGTGTGCATCCTTATTGCCTTTAAACGATCTATATTTGAATTCCCCAAATATACAGCACTTAAGTTTGGTGTAAGAATGAGGTATTAGTCACGTTGGTCGATCGGCCATGGATCCCTGCGGCTTAGATTGCAGACTGTGATCTGACAGGGTAGTTATTTGGTTGATCACCCGAAACGTATAGTTCTGGAATGAACCAGTAATATTACCAATTGGGTAACCAGGGGCTGGGTCGTGGTGTCAACGCCTTGGTGTACGAGTGCACGCCATCACCAAAGAATATTAAATCCGGAAGTGATAGACAACGATTAGCTAACTATTTGTTGTGTTCCTGCTTGAGAACTAACTATATGAAAATAAACCTAGATCTAACGTATAAAAGGGATGGTCCACATTCTTTCCGAGAACTGTTGGGTAAGCAGGAGCTGAGTAAGGGGTGTCAACACCATCA